CTTTTAAATATTCTTCTCCGACACCATAGCTCAAATGCATCTACAGTCTTTCTTATTCATTGTGAAGCTTTCCATGTATAGGAGGCTATTGAAAATACGATGGCTTGAGTCAGGCACATCTCAGTCCTCAAACTGACATCTTTAATCTTGAACACTTTAAAGAGGTCTTGTGAAGATTTATAAGTAGAAAACCTTTTTATTTCTGTATATGAATTTTGTATCCTGCCACCTCAATTACTTAACTTAATAAAAATATTTTTAGTTGATAAATTTGGATTTTTAGAACTTAATAATTCCATCTACACTTTCAATTTTTCATTTTGCCATCTCTTCAGTGTGTGGCACTGTAGGATCAGCACTGGACTGTGAGCCAGGTAGGCAGTTGAACCCCACCAGCTGCTCCTCATAAACTCTATACAGGGTCATTATGAGTCAGAACTGATTTGATGCCACTTTACAACAGTGTTTATTCCTAGTCTTTCTTTTGTCTAATTGCATTGGCTAGCATGCCTAAGCGGAGTACAGTGGTTCTGTAGGATAAGCACCAAACTGCTAACCACAAAGTAGGCAATTTGAGCCCATCAACCTCTCTGCATGGAAGAAAGATGAGGCTTTCTGCTTCTACAAAGTTTACAACTTCAGAAACCCCATACAGGTTTACTATGAGTCAGAATCCACTTGACAGCAATGAACAGCAGCACTCTTACAGCAATGCCAAATAACATAGTAAGTCACCATTAAGTAAAATGGCGACTTTGAACTTGAAATATATATATTTTATGTAACTTAATGCTATAAAGCGATTGACCTATTTCAATTTTTCTAAGCATCTACTAAAATACTGAGATTGACTAAATTAATTTTGGGTTTATTCATATGGTTTTGTACTTTGATATATTAATAGGAAGAATCATGCCAATATATTGAAAGTACCAACCAAATCATGCCAATATATTGAATACCAACCAAATCTAGGTTAAAAGAAGTCTAACTAGAATGCTCCTTAGAAGCCAGGATGTCAAGGCTAATGCTGAATTCTCTTTGCTAAATTCTCTTAGCTGATTTTTAAAATTAGAAATTCTGCATAGGTAGCAATTGATTGTGGTTTTGTTTTTTGTGTGTGCTGTTTTTTTTATCAGGTTTGGGTAAAAGTATTTTGCTATTTTATTATATAAGTGAGTTGAAGTTTTTCTTTTTTCTCCATGTTCTGGGAAAATGCAAATAGTACAAGTTGTTGTTGTTAAGTGCCGTCGAGTTGGTTCTGACTCAGAGCCATCCTGTACAGGGATTCCAAGGAGTGCCTGGTGGGTTTGAACTGTTGACATTGTGGTTAGCAGTCCTGTGCTTTCTACAGCGTCATACTGAGACTCTAAATAGGACAATGGGGCTTTAAAAAAATCATGGAAAAATGGAACTAGACAATAATGAAATTTTTGAAGCCTCCTCTACTGAAATGATCTCTTCTCCCTCCCTCTGGTGACTTAACCAGATCACTTTACTTTTCTAAAATCACAATGGTGGCCACAGTTGGAGCCTGGATCCTCTGCTCAGAAGTTCTGGTGTGGGTCTTCACCTGATGGTCAGTGTATCCTGGTAGGGAAACTTGATGAACACGGTCTCTCTCCAGAGTTTTGGGGTGAGAAAGTTGTAGGTCTTGGAGATGGCCTAGAAGGTGGCCTTGGTGAAGCTGGTGGCAGTGCAGGCCCTGGCTGAAGTGTTCTTGTTGATAGTGCCTTGTTGTGACTCCTGGCAACCCAACGTGGGAAGAGTAGAACTGTGCTCTAAAGGGTGTTCAGAAATGCATCACCAAGTATTGTATTTAAGAGGTGTCTCTGGGTGAGTTAGCAGTTGTCAAGATGACAGGTAGCAGCAGTTTCTTGGCCACAGAGCTAAGATGATGCCAATGCCTCTGAGACAGGGATTAAGCGTAGCAACAGTTGCTTTCAAAGGAAGGGTGTGGAGCTTATTAGCTTCACTACATGGGGACCAGGGAGAGCTTGGTCAAGAGAATGTCCCCATGGAGGATGGAGGCCATTTCCTTGAAGCACTTAATAGCCAGACTCATGCAGCTGTTGTAGTCCCTGTTGGCCACAAATGCCTTGAAGCTGGCCGGCTAGAAGAACACATCTGCATTTGTGCAGGCTAAATTCAAAACTCCATCCTTGACGGGTAGCCCCAGAGAAAAATTAATTATCTCAGACATCTTAATGGGCAGGGAGAAGAGATTCATCTCCTCAAGGGACTTGATCTTCATGTCCTTGACCAGGCAGCCCATCTTGAGATGCTATGAGTCACTCCTTGTCCTGGTGTTGACTCACCTCCACTGGCTTCATGGCCTCTGCCCGCCCTACCCAACTATGATTACTGCCTTTGAAGCCAGCTGGGCTGAAGACAGAAGACATTGCTGTACCCTGCCTCAGTCTCCAGGGTCTAACCTGCCGCAGAAGTATCATTATTGTCATTGGCTAGGCTGTGTCTTTTTGGTGTTTAAATGATCTATGCTTGAAGGTCTGAAAGAATTTATTATGGAAACCAACTGAGTTTGTGGTTTCTCGAGGGATAGCTCTTTTAATATATTTTTTTAAGTATTCTAAACATTTTCCATTGTTAGGAGTGTACTTTAGTTCTCTCTTTCTTCTGGGTCCAATTTTTGCCTGGTGTGGTGCTTTAGGATACGAGCTCAACTGTGAACCAAAAAAATCGGCAGTTCAAACTCACCAGCTGCTTCTTGGAAACCTTGTCCAGGGTCGTGATGAGTCAGAATTGACTCAATGGCACTTAAAACAACAACAACATATTTTTCTAAGGAAACATTTAGATTATCCATTTAGAAATTTGAAAATTCATCACATTAAAATTTTTTATGTATTGTTTAACTTTTTTATTTACTTGTACTTTATTTATTTTTTCCTGATTAAGCTTTTGTACTTTATTCCCTAAAGAACTAGACCTTTAGTTTGATTACACATTAAATCAAATATTCAACCGTTTATCTGTTTTCTAGCTAATTAATTTCTGCTTTTATTTTTATCTTTCATCTAATTTGTTGCTTCGTCTCTACCTTATTGAATAGAATAATTAATTAAAACATTATTTCCTTGGTAAATGGTTAATTCTGTAAGTTTTTACCTTGAACCCAGCTTCCTAAGTTTTTTTGCTAAGTAGCATCTTTAATACTTGTAATTTCTATGAACCTGGTTATTTGGTTATCTTTTTTCTTTGCATCAAGATCTGAGAGATCTTTTCAGGTAGCTAATTTCTTTTTGTTAAAATTTAGTTCGGTTGTATGGTGGGGAAGATTTTTCTAACTTAATTTTCTTGGGATGTGTTGAGGTTTTTCTTTGTGACCCAACATATTCTTTGTTTTTACAATGAAAATATCACATTTGTGATTATGATAACCTTATTGACCATATTACACACACACACACACACACACACACACCTATATTGTCTCCTTTCATAAGGAGTCCTGGTGTTTTTGTAAGTTAAGCTTTTGTGTGTGTGTGTGTATAAATGATTTATTCATAGACAAGGCCTAGAGTTTTATTTCTTCTTGGACACACTCACAGTTCGGCCACTCCGGCCTGTGGTCTTGGTGTGCTGGCCTCAAACACGAAGGCCCCACAAGTGACACAGCCCTCTGTGGGCCCGAATCTTCTTAAGCTGCTCCAGGTCTTCACGGGCTTGTTGTCCAGACCATTGGCTGTATTTGCCATCCTTTACGTCTTTCTGTCTGTTCAGGAACCAGTCAGGAATCTTGTATTGGTGTGGATTCTGCATAGTGGTGATTACACGCTCCACCTCATCCTCAGTGAGCTCTCCTGGTGAGGTCAATGTCTGATTTCCTCAACACCACATGAGGGTATCTTCGCCCCACACCCTTGACGGCAGTGATGGCAAAGGCTATTTTCCACCGCCCATCGATGTTAGTGTTGAGTACTCGGAAAATGTGCTCGAACTTCTCGGGGATCACTAGAGACATGGCGGCGACAGCAACAGCGGTGTGTAGGCCTCCGGTGGAAGAGCTGTAGGTTAAGCTTTGAGCTAACTGTAAGTTCGTTCAGTGGTTCAAACCTATCAGGTACTCCGAAGGAGCAAGATAAAACTGTCTGTTTCTTAAAGATTTACAGTGTAAGAAACCGTAAGGAGAAGTTCTACTTTGTCCTATAAAGGATATCTGTGATTAGGAATTGATTTGATGGCAGTAGGCTTGGAGGTTGGTTTGCTCTTTCATAACTAATGATGTCTCCATGTTTTTTGAAAGTGCAGATACCTGACTTCACTCAGCCATCTTGCCTCAGAAGTTATATAGGTTGGTGTGAAGGTTTGAGCGGGAATATAGCCCTCCGCAAGACCACCTTCAATTCTGACACCAACTGAAAGTTCAGAGGGTTCCCCAAACCATTCTTATGTTGAATATTTTACTAGAAAGACTTCCAAAACTAATTGAAAGTTGTTACATTCCTGGGTAGAGTTTACTATAGAGAAAGGGCGCAGATTGTAGTCAAACAACAGAGGAAGTGCACAGGGCAGAGTTCAGGAGAGTCTCAAAAATGGAATTTTGTGTTCCTCTCCCTATAGAGTCACAGGCTGCAATGATTTATGTTAACACTTCCAACTGAAGTGTTTGAGCTTTGTCTTTTCTTCATTAACATAGGCATGACTCATTGCTCATACCCTGGACAGACTCCTGTCCCCAGTCCCACCCGAAATGACCCAAGTCTCTACCCTAAATCGTATGGTCTTTATGGCATGGCTACCTCACAACCAAAGACTATATGGATGTAGTCAGCCCCCCATAATTTATATTGTTAGACTATCTGGCATGACCTAGGTCAACAAAGACATACCCTTCCAAGATCCCAGATATTACCTCCTAGAAACTGAGAGCAAAGGCCAGACCTTCTCTTTGTCAAGGTCAAATTCTCTACTGCATAGTTGTTTAAGCAAGTTTAGAACCTCAAGAGCCGGGCTCAGTTTCTTTAGAGTTTGGTTCAGGGCTATACATACAACTGGCACTTAATAACTACTTCTTGAATGGATATGTAATAAATGTTTATGGCAATCCTGTCTAATTTATGACCAGTTATTAAAAGAAGGAGAATTAGGGAACAATTACCTTGGAACAGATATGATTGTGGATTAATCAGAGATGGTGGGCTAAGCAGTATGTATGACATGTAAGATATAATACTATATGTCAGATTGAATGTATTTAGTGATCACTTCAACCATGGAAGAATTGAACTCGTCTATTTGTTTTTGACCCAATGTGGCATTTCAGTTCTTAGGGTCTCTGAAAAGACATGGGGAAGGAAGCATGAAACTCAGAGGTGCATAGGTCTCCTTTGGATTAGTTGTGTATGTGTGTGTGTTTTTTAAGGGTACCTTGTGAAATTTGAGGAGTTCTGGTGTGGCACTATAGGATAAGCACTGGACTGTTAACTGCAAAGTCAGTGGTTCAAACACATCAGCTGCTCCTCAGAAACAGAGTTGCTTTGATAGTAACTGAATTGACAGACACTTAACAACAATAATGTGAAATTTGCTCCTAAGATTCCTTTTACTTTTAACGTCACAATTCACCTTGGACTAATCTTAATTTTCCTTCTAGGCTTTTCACTGGCTACTTATGTGACTGCTTTCACCGGCAGACCACCGGCTAGTAACTGTGTTTGTCTCTGTTCTTTTATGTGACACTGTTTTTGGTCTTGGGTAGAATTAGTTTCATACCAGTGGGCTGTTTATTTTTTCAGTGACAAGGTTACAGAGCTGTGTGGTGGTGCATCTTTGTACTCATGTTGGTTTCTAAGTATTGATGCTTTTTCTCTTTTCCTCCTTCAGAAAGAAAGAATAGGAGTTGGATGGGCAGAAGAAGGTTACTTGACTTCTACTGACTATTGATTTTCTTTGTGCCATTCAATGGTTCATTAGTTTCTCCTAACGACAGTTCTGTATTTAGCAGCAGTTTGGTTTGGGGCATCAGTCACAGAGGGGGACTGCCAGTGCCTCAGTAGGCTAGCAGTGAGTTGGGGAGACAAGTTTCTGAGATTGTGAGTGTGGATGATTTCACATTCTTTCTTTTTGCTTAAATTTCCCAACATAGAATAAGGGCGAACTAGCAGACAGAAATAGGGGCAAATATCTGGGCATTTAAAATTTTTTTTTTTTAGTGTTTTCCTACATAATTAAGGAATCCTGATGTGGTGCTGTAGGATAAGCACTAGACTGCTAACTGCAAGGTTCAAACCCACCAGCTGCTCCTCGGAAACCCTGTGCAGGGTTGCTATGAGTCAGAACCAACTCAACAGCACTTAACAACAACATAAGTAAAGTGTGAGGTCACGAGTGTCTTTGAGACTTAAACTACAAGGGGCTTCAAAAAGTTTGTGGAAAGGTGGAATTAAAAATAATGGAATTTTTCCATGAAGTTTTTGAAGTCCTCTTGTATTATCCAGGATGGTGGTGGGGAAACCCTTCAGGGAGGTGGGGTTTACCATGCATATGAACACGAGAATTTACACTAAGATACATGAATTTCACACAACTTTTGATTATGAATAGCATACAAAAACTAAACAGAATATAATAATGAAATCCCATGTGTACTGTTAACTGTACTCCCATGGCCAATCTTGTTTCATTTATGCCCTTTCTTACTTTTTCTTCTCTTACATATTATTCCAACATCTATGACTTCACCGATAAATATTTCAGTGAGCATTCCTGGAAAACAAGGACCCATTTTCATCAAATGGATTCTGACTCACAGTTCTTGTGTTGCAGACTAGAACTGCTCCATAGAGTTTTTTGATTGTAATCAATGCAGAAGCAGTTCTCCAGGCCTTTATTATGTGGCTGTACTGGGTAGATTTGAATTTACAACCTTTCAGCTATTGGTTGAATGCAAACCATTTGTGCCATCCAAGGACCTTAATTAACAACATTTCTCTCGTGTCATTAAATATCTAATCACTGTTCTAGTTATTCTATCTCATAAAGTTATAATGTTTCAGCTTGTTTGTGTGATTCTATCTTATTTCATAATCAACATGTATTTTCAGATCCTCTTAATCCTGAGGTAATTTCTTCTATTATATAGAATACTCTTATTCAGGACACTAGTTCACTGAATAAGAGTATTCTACATTCTTCTGCATTTTGCTCATTGCATCTTCATGGTGGTATTTAACACACTGTTCTTTTGTGTAATTCCTGAAAATTGGTAACAGGATTTACAGGAAGTATAATGCCTGCATTTCTTTCTTTTTGTGATGCTAGAAATCTACAGAATTTGAACTTGTACGCTACAGGGGATGACAAAATCTAGCTGTGGAGTATTTCGCAGCTTAGTTTTTAAAGCATGTTCTCTGTGGATGATTGAAACCAAAACTCCAAA